GCTGAATTTATTCGGGTACAGGTGTAAGAAGTCTAGCTGTCTGTGGAAGTAGTGTAGTGTCACCGTGCTGACTTCTAGATCGACCTTATACAGAGCCAGACATCAGCTGGATCCCTGTGCTTGGAAACCACTAAAGCTGTCCACACTGGTTAGGGCATACTGCACTGAGTCAGAGTGACATTCAGTCCTACCAGAGGCCAATTACTCTTTCGTTGTATCATGGCCACAGCGGCTGTTTCTCAAAAGTGTCCTCTGAGCCATTTGTCGGCTTGAGGAAGCAACTCAAAGAACACTCCATACTGACGTTAACCTTGTCTTCAGAGAGAGCGAGCAGTATATTGTAAATCATACCATCCCCCAAACCAGACTTGCAGAGTTCAGCAAAGACAGGTAACAGCAACCTCCACACAGCACAGTCAACACAAAAACCCTACATCCCATGTGACGGGGAAGTAATGAAACATCCTCTGGCCCTTGACTGGATAATGAAGCAATGAAAACAGGGTGACTATCCAGAGAAGGCATGGCTGGTGGGAGAGGGAAGAATCGGGGAGGCACAGAGAGGCCTGGCACTCCGAGGCTTGTCAGGGAAAGGCAGTGGCCCTCACCTTTTCTTCTGGCATTTGGCTCATGGTACAGTCCCCAAACTGATTTTTAGAATAACTTGAGTCACTATGTAACAGATACTAAAAGTTGATATTCAAAGGTTTGGGTCAAACGGTGTATGCATTTATCAAACCTCAGTGAGTGTACGCTAAAGATGTGTGTATTTCATTGTATGTAAATTGTGCCTCAAAGGAAACACAGTGGTAAGAAAGGACTCTAGTTAAGAGCTGAGAGGCTGGATGGTGGCACGGCAGAGGAGCAGTGCTCTGTGAGGCTGGCCACATGGGAAGGTTCCAGGTTCGCATCCAGAGACATCCCTGGGCATGCCAGGTGCATGTGTGCCCATGATCTGGGGCTGGCTGAAGCTGGGTGCCCCTCTCTCTCATTCACGGAGGATAGGAACTTTAAAACATGTATGTATACAGTGCGGATGCATTGAGGGGAAATGTATAGATGTCTGTAATTTGCTTTAAAATGAACCCAAAAGATAGGACGATATGATTCATCTGTACAAATCAATATGTGATAAAGTATATGTAGTAAAACGTTAATGATCTCATCCGGGGTCTTCACCGTACAGTTCTTTCAAGTTTTCTGCATGCTCAAAATTTTATATAATGAAATGTTGGGAGAAAGTGGTATTGGCAAGGTGGAAACAGAATTATGTGGAATGCTCCAGAGGCACCCAGTAGATACTCATTGGGCAAATGAAATAAATCTCAGCACTCACTGGGGCTAGAAACTAAAGCATCTGTGTTTGCAGAAGGTCCTCGTGGTGGTGGCACCTAAAAAAGTCATAGTTGTCGAGACGCCAGCTGCTGTCCCCGCTCTGACCTAGTAGCCCTCATGTCTCATGGTCACCCGAAGCAGGTAAGGTGGCCTTCCATTGCTCCCAGTGAAGCAGTGATGGGACCAGACACGCAGCGGCTGCCTGCAATGCTGTGCGACCTGCCTTCCCACCAGGTGTCCCTGAACCGCGCGGAGCGACTTCCCCCCACCTGATCAAACTTCTTCTGCTTCTTTTCCAGGTTGGACACCAGTTGCCGCTGGTTGTCCAAATCGACGACCA